GAATTGAACTAATCTTCGCACACAGAACTCCCATGATCAACAGAAAATACTACAATAGTTTGGTGGGCATTGACCTTGAGTTTTGGAGTTGTAGTTCGTCTACATCCAGAGAGCACGGTGGACTCAAACAATGATGGATATGGACCAAACTTGGCACAAATCCTCAATATACCCAAATGTGAACACTGATGGAGTTTGGGGAAAACAGACCTTGACATTTGGGAGTTGTAGTTGCTGGGATTTATAGTTCACCTACAATCAGAGCATTCTGAACCCCAGCAATGCAAGAATTAGGCCAAACTTACCACACAGAACCCCTGTGACCAACAGAAAATACTGTGTTTTCTGATGGTCTTTGACGACCCCTCTGACACTCTGCAACCCTCCTAGGGGTCCCAATCCCCAGGTTGAGAAACACTGATTTAAACACAAAACCAAGACCAAGCCCCAGACTGCCCTTGTACCAGAATCCCATAATTCTTCTTGAATTCTATTAAGGTTATCTGCTTCATCGTTAGATGTTGAGTCAGCTGCTATTTATCCTCATTTGCCTTTTATTACTCATATGAGGCCTGTGGCAAAGAAATGGGTATATTCTAGTGGCATGTATCAATCAGTATGGATTCCTTGCTTGATACATGTGGTAATCAGTTTGTTTTTTAAACTGCTTTATGAACTACCAGGAGATAGGGCCAAGCAAGCTCTTGTGACTACCAAGGTTTTTTTTTTTCCATTACAAAAGCAGCCTTCATGTTGCAAACCACATGGAGTATAACTATAAGGACACAGACTAAGAGGGCTGCTGGTTCAGTTCTAATCATTGTATATAAATTCATGTTATATTTCTTATGTACATATCACATGGCAATCAAGCACTGATCTGATGGTTGTGTTAGAGGAGAAACAGAAAGGTCATTCCTGTGTCCCTTCTAAACGTATGCACAAGAAAACAATCTGCAGTACCTCTTCTTTGTAAGTGGTAGGGTCTCTGAGGCAGAATTCTGTTGTGAATCAGGGAGGGGTGCATTTCTGTGAATTTTTATCCCAACATATCTGATGCATGGAATAAGACTTCACTTGTCCCATAGTCTTACTTTTTTCACATTTTGTGGCGAATGGTTCTGAATTCCTAAACTACAAATAATTGTCCCAGCCTGAATTTCTTTGGTTTAAGAATGAGATTATCTTCATGAAATTTAAATCCATTGTTTAGATAATTCCTATTTGTATTTATAGACAAATATTGGCAGAGTGGTACTTGGTTTTCTCGTGTATGTGATAGATGATGTCAATATGCGCTTGCTTGTGTCATTTGCCTTTACAAACAAATGATCTGCTGGAGCTACTAGTTAATTAATATTCTTTCATTGAGCTCATGAAAATGAAAACAAATATAAAGTGTATAAATCTAGATGTCTTTGGGAGTGATGTACTCATGAATAGTTCATGACTAGAAAACTGAGCTTTTGGGACAGAGTGGCTTTGTTATGACCTTTTCCTATACTGTTGCAGTTATGTATGGCAGTCTGGAGACATATGAACGAGATAAGTTTCCAGACTCTTGGGCTTGTCTAACTCAAGCAAGCTACTAGGTAAACTAGAGTTGGTTATATTCATTGGCTAAGCTGTGTAATGTGTAAGTACTCTTAAATATAAGAAATGGTGAAATTGGTACTTCATTCATATAGGAAACATACTGTAGGGCTAGGCTGTATTTCAGAGGAAGAAATTGTGAGACCCACTTCTTAGTATTCTTTGCCTTAGAAAACCCTATGAAATTAATGGGGGTGCCTTAAACCAGCAGATGATTTGAAGCCACATACACACAAGTGTTATGCTTTGGGTAGCTGTTGTCTCTGTAGGCCCTTCCAGACTGACATAAAGAAGCATAGCTTATTGGCGCATAGCTCTTTGGATTTTGTTGGAATTGCTTGTTGCTGTTATTGCTTGTTCCTGTATCCATATATTCCATTATTTTGCTGAATCTTTTGTCGCGATTTCATGATCTGCATTACAGATCTCCCCGCAATGTAAAAAACGGAGGTATCATTTGCTGGTGTGTTCCTATAGTTTGAGGTTCCCTTGTTGTTGTTTTTGCATTCTGCTGCTGTAGTGCATGGAATCAGAACCATAGAGTTGGAAGAGTGGGTCACACAATCCAACCCCCTGCCAAGAAGCAGGAAAATCGCATCCCTGACAGATGGCCATCCAGCCTCTGCTTAAAAGCCTCCAAAGAAGAAGCCTCCACCAAACTCAGGGGCAGAAAATTCCACTGCTGAACAGCTCTAACAGTTAGGACGTTCTTACCAATGTTCAGGTGGAATCTCCTTTCCAGTAGTTTGAAGTTATTGTTCTGCATCCTAGTCTCCAGGGCAGCAGAAAACAAGCTTCCTCCCTTCTCCCTATGACTTCCCTGCATATTTATACATGGCCATCATGTCTCCTCTCAGCCTTCTCTTCTTCACGCTAAACATGCCCAGCTTTTTAAGCTGCTCCTCATAGGGCTTGTTCTCCAGACTCTTGATCATTTTAGTCGCCCTCCTCTGGACTCAAAATGACCAAGGCAGAATAGAGGGATAGCATGATTTCCCTGGATCTAGACACTAATTGAGATAAGAGTAAAAATGTTGCAGATACTGAAGGGAATTGCCAGAAAATAGTTTGATATAGGTCATTTCAATATTTTAAAACTCCTGAGAATAGACATTACTACATCTCAACATATTTGTCATTTCTGGAAGAGACATGCTTTACTTTAATACGTCATGGCGATGTATCCTTCCTTAGAGTGCAGTGAAGGGAGACTTCCCCCCCCCCCCCCCCCCTCCCCAGTCCCTGGTGACTAAAACATTTATTCTAAAAATGCACACATAAGCAGAGGATTTGTTATATTCATGGAAGGGACAGAAGATATATGCTTCCTTATTCTCTGCAACCTTCCCAGTAGGGATTGTCCATATAATTAATTATGTAGGAGCAAGATATGAAATTATGTACTAAGCAAATAACTAGCTTAATTCTTGATGTATCCAGTGTTGGTTCAGTTAGAGTTATGTGCAGATAATTTAATATTAAGCATGTTTATTCTTAGGTTAAATTTTTATTTGGATTTCAAATCCATTGCAATTTAAGAATATCATTGGTTGTGTAAAGGTGGATGAAAATCAATGTGTAATTGATTTTGTCTTGACTTCTTATCTGTTCCGTTGTGGTGTCTTAGCTTAAAATAGGACTGTAGTATAGGAAAGGTTTACCTTTACAGCTGATATCATCCTTATATATTAAACTTCCCTCTTGTGTTTTTTTTAAATTTCCAATCTAATAAATATTCCTGGGGCTAATGTTTGTTTACATTTTAAAATGGGTAGGAATTGTGCACCATTTGCCAATATTCAGCGGCATTTCCCAGCAGCTGAGGAATGCCTTCCCCATAAAGGTCTAATGGACACTAGCTCTGGCTTAACCCAAGAAGAAAGAAAACATCTTTTAGTAAAACATTTTGTCAGAATCTGTCTTGATTTAGCAGGAACAGTCTTTCTAACCTTTTCAGCTGCCTTTCACTAGTCCTAATTTTTTCACCCTCCTTGTCTTCAGTTTACTTCAGTTGCAATAAAGTGAGTTCAGAATGCACTTGCACTCAATTAACTGTGTGAAGAAAATGAAGCGATGGAGTTTTGCACTTCCCAGTAGACTCCGTTCAAAGCCAACTGGTTAGCTTGTGTGTTATTCCTCATTAATGTCTTTTGCAACAATCCAATGTTGATCGGCCACATATGTGCCAGTCTTTATTTGTGAGATGTTGGAGATAGGTATGTACATAATTTTGTTTGAAATTGTACACCATCCTGAGATCCTGAGCAACCATAGTAATCATACCCAGTGTTTAGGATTGCTGAAAGTTACTCAGTTAACGTATAGAAATCTGCATAAAATCTAATTTTACGAGAGGGCAATTAATTGACTTTTTTTTGTGTTTTTGCAAGAATTAGCAGTATCTTTAAAAGGCCTAATATGAACAGCACGTCTGATATGTCTGCAGGGTTATATTATGTTGAAGTCAACATAGAAGCCATAAACTTGTACTTGGCCTTCCTAAACATAGCCGCCCTGAGTCCCCCCTCGGGGGTTGAAAAGGGCGGGGTAGAAGTGCGAGAAATAATGGTCATAAGCAAGCCTGGCTTGTGTGGGGAGAGACACGTCAGAGTTTCTACTTTGCATTCACAGTAAAAACAAAGATATGGACGATTGGCTTTCTTGGATGGGCCAAATGGGAGTGATCACACACCATTCATGAATATACCATTGTAGTTCATTCATAATAATTCCAATATGGCCTATAAGAGAAATCACAGTAGATATAATTACATACGTTGACATGACTAAAATATCTTGCCTCAATTCATCTTTTAGATTTTCCTCTTTCACAACCATTTTTCTTTAATAAAAATGTTGTCTGATCTGCCCAAACCTTTCCCAAGGTTTTAAAAAACCCCTTCTACACTGCCATATAATCCAGATCATCAAAGCAGATATTCTACATTATCTACTTTGAACTGGATTGTATGAGTCTACATTGCCAGTTCAAAGCAGATAATCTTGATTTTATATGGCAGTGTAAAAGGGGGCTAAATCATAATTTAGGCAGAAATCTGAAACTTCAGTACATACAGGTCTTAGGTCAGGTGTGTTGTCAATATCACAGGACAACTCAGGACCATATGAGATGAAAGACAGGAGCAGTAGAGCAAGACCCCCTTCTATACTGCCATATAATCCAGATTATCAAAGTAGATAATTCACATTATCTGCTTTGAACTGGGTTATGTAAGTCTGCACTGCCATATAATCTGGTTCAAAGCAGATTTTATATGGTAGTATAGAAGGGGACTAAAACACACACATGCTTTAGAAGAACTTCTATAATAGGATTTAAGGACATATATTTGTTACCACTCTCTGTGCATTTTATTTTGACTTCTGAATTTGTCTTATGTTTGTAGGGGCATATTAAGAACAATCTATAATACTATCAATGAGAGAAGACGTATAACCTCTGGTGAGTTTTAAATATGGTGTACATTTCAGGTAAAATTGTACAGTAAACACAATAATCTTATCAGTTAAAAAGTTAAAAAAGGATTGAAAACTTTTAATATCAAAATATTTATATTGTATTTCCCAACAATATATTGTAAAATATTAGAATCAATTGCAACATGTAACATGATGATTTATGATTTCTTCCCCTAAACATTTTAATGTTATGGGTTTTTTCATGTATGAAATAAGATGTCTTTTCATTTCCATAATAAGGGAAATAGTGAGGCCTATGGGCAGAATCTAACATTATGTGAATAGATTTCTGCTTGTGCACTGAGCAATTCTCCCATTGATCACACAATAGACTTAAAAGGGCAGGAATGTTCTCTTCCCTGACTTCCCTGTTAGTGGAAGGGAAAATTAATTGCAAGCCAAATCTTGTACCAATACGTAGTGTAAAAAGGTAAAGGTAGTCCCCTGACATTAAGTCCAGTCATGTCTGACTCTGGGGTGTGGTGCTCATCTCCATTTCTAAGCCGAAGAGCCAGCGTTGTCCGTAGACACCTCCAAGGTCATGTGGCCGGCATGACTGCATGGAACGCTGTTACCTTCCCGTCGGAGCGGTACCTATTGATCTACTCACATTTGCATGTTTTTGAACTGCTAGGTTGGCAGAAGCTAGGGCTGACAGCGGAAGCTCATGCCGCTCCCCGGAATTGAACCTGCGACCTTTCGATCAACAAGCTCAGCAGCTCAGTGCTTTAACCCACTGCGCCACCGGGGGCTCCTTATACGTAGTGTAGTGTTGGTAATATTGTAAAACTTTCAATCAAGTTTCTTCAGTTTTGTGCATGTTACATTCAATTTGAAAAACTGAATGGTTTGAAATGAACTACTTTCCCTTTTTCTCGGTTTTATTCCACTAGCTCAGACATGAGCAGTGCTAGTAACTCACTGGCACGTGAATTTTTGTCAGATGTCAGCCATCTTTGCAATGCAGTGGACCAAAGGGTGGAAGCCAGGGAAGAGGAAGAGGAGAAAACACACATAGCAGCACTTGGGCAATACCTTGTCAAAGGACGCGGATTCATTTTGCTTACTAAACTCAATTCCATTATTGATCAGGTAATTTATTCTTTATAAATTTCATTGCATTTTCTGTCTATAATTTGGTTTGAATTTTATCTGTTTGTATGAAATGATCTCAGAAAGGGTTTTGGATTTAGACTGCTTTGAGTGCTGTGGAAAATTATGTGGCCTTCAATTGTATTTATGGTTCCAGTGAATGTTTTGAGAAATGGAATAGAAGGCTCTTTCACCTGATTACCAGCTTCAGATAGGACAGATATAGACAGAAGAAGTCTAAGTCCTTTTATTCCTCTTTCATATATTTTTCTATTGGGTGGTTCAGATTTTGCAGATCAGGTCTTTCATCTGAGAATTGTTACGCCAATGTGATAAGAATGGAGCCAAAATTGCCACCTGTAACCATGTCCTGTAGTGTTCGCTAAATTTCCACCGATTAGGATATTCTGTTTAATTTTGTTTACTTTTCATGAGGTCTTGTGTATAAAATGTGTGAAACAGGAGCATTTCCTTAGATAATGTCTACTATAAAATATTATGAATTGAGCAAATTAGAATACATTATAAACTAAAAAGAATTGACTTGTGGGAAACTTTACTAACATTTTGATAAACTGGAATAAAGAAGAATAGACTGATATAGAACAAAGTATTTAAGAAAATAGAAAGTATTTTAAAAATTAGACGCTTTTACAAAATGGCTCACTTTACACTATGAGAGCACAGAGGTGAAAATGGCTTATTTCTGTGCCCTGTGTAGTGAATTTCCTACCTGTTAGGCTAGGAAAAGCCTAGAAAAGTAGGTCCAAGAAGTTCAGGAACCATTTTGGAAAGGGTGCCGGGGGAATCCATTTTAGTTACTCATTTCCTGAAGGGGGCGTGTTTAGAAAGAAAGGTTTTGGAGGGAAATGAGGGGAGTTAGTAACTGGCTGAGAGAGAGTGGGTGGAGCTTAACTTGGCAAAAGAAAAAAATTACTTTAAGGGAAGGTTTTGAAACCCTGTCAGGCAGTTTTATGAACCTGGATGTCAAAGGAGAAGGAGCTAAGAGCTCGAGGTGGAGAAGAGATTAGGGAGAGAGGCCTGAAGTGGTCAGTTAGCTAGCAGAGATAGCTAGTGGGAAGTTTACAGCTATTAGGGAGATAGCTGGTGGAGGAGTGAGGAGATAGATCCAGGGTAGGACTATCTGTGTGTGGAGGAGTTTTAGAGTTACTTTCAGAGAAGCAATCCTGTCAGTAATCTCAGGAGGGAGAAAGGAGTGTAACTTGTAACTAAGATTTGAACTGCTTAAAGAAACCTCACACTTTTATGCCAATACTTGGAAACAACTAAACTTTATAACTGATTTGCTCAAGTTCTCTTAAATAAACATCATTGTTTTGTTGTTCATAACATCTGCCTCACGGGTGCCTCTGTGAGTGGAGTTTTAAAAAGCAGTTTCAGGCAGCAAACAAGAGTCTATGCTGGCAGCGTATAATATAAAGAGCAATCTTTTAGTGTTACCTCAGAGCACAAGCCTGAGTGCTAATTCCAACACACTCTTGCCTAAGATACTTCGGGTAAGCCAAGGGCTTATCAGTGCTTTTAAGTTTAGTGGTGGCCAGAGAGGGTTTTCAAAAGGGTTATTCAGCCAGAAGAAAGTTCCAGCTTTCGTTACAGCTTTTTGATTTTGGCTTTTAATCACAGAAGCCAGATTCCAATCACATTTGGTGTTCATCATTTTGGGATTTTTTTGCCTCAAATAAGCCCCCACCTTTTACACCATGCATAGAAATATGTAGAAGAGTGTTGGAGAGAATTTGTCTGAAAGCTGAAAAGCTTTAACTCAACTTTGTTTTTGGATCTTTGCTAGACTACAGTACTTAAATTCCCACAAAAATATGGTTTGTAAGAAAGTCTTGATTTCCTAACTAGGAGCTGACCTGTCGGGAAGATCTCCTTACTCTCCTCCTGTCGCTTCTACCACTAGTTTGGAAAATACCTGTAGAAGAAGAAAAGGCAATAGGTAGGTACCCTTCATATACTTTAATAATATTTGTTCATTTATCCTATATCATGAGATCAGAGATGCCATCAGCAAAAATGAACAAAGAACATGATAGTGAGATGAACTGATTTAAGCTCTTTGTCCACATTATCAAGCCACAACAACAGAAACTAATCCTTCCCCACTACAAAACTGTTACAACTGTGACATCACATTTTGAGTGAATCAATTTTATGTTCAATGTCCCTGGCAGAATTTGTCACAATAACTTAGTAAGGCTACTGCTTCTGTCTTTTTGGGACAGATTCCTCAGCACTCAGGTAATCTTCCTGAGCAGCATGTTGAGGATAGCAATATTAGAGTTATAGTGTGATCCTTGCAAACTTAGAAGATGGGGAAAACTGCCTTTACATCTGTTTGTGTTGTCTATCCTTGTTAATTGTATAATCGGCATTGAATGTTTGCCATATGTGTATTCTGTAAGCCACTCTGAGTCCCCTTTGGGGTGAGAAGGGTGGGGTATAAATACTGTAAATAAATAATAATAAACTAAAACTCCCATCATCATCTGTCATTGCCCCCAAACCCCTCCAGTATTTGAAGGGGTAGGTATGTGTGCCAAATTTGGTCCAGATCTATTGTTGATAGAATTCACAAGTCTGTATGGATGAGAGTGGGGTGTAATTCCCATCATGCTCTTTCATTGCCCCTTCCCCAAACCATGCCAATATTTGGTCATTATGATTATGTGTGCCAAGTTTGGTCCAAATCCATTGTTGGTAATGTTCACAGAGCTCTCTGGATGAAGGTGGAGTGCAACTCCCATCATGCTCCCAGAATGCTTGACCATTGGACAAGCTGCCTATGTTTTCTGGGAGTTGAAGTCCTAAACACCAATTTGCGTTTTGCTTTGATTTCTGTAATTGAAACACAGAGCGACTCACAACAATTTAAAAAAATGCAATTCAAAGTATCTAGCGTCTAAATATTAAAATAGGATGTAACATACAAATTGGTTAAAATCCCTTTTAACATCAAAACAGTTAAAATGTTTAATATATATATATATATATTATCAATTTTTTAAAAAAAAATTTTGAGCTGACTAAGCTATTCAATTTAAATAATTTAATTGTAATTTTTGTCTTCCAATAGATTTTAATCTGCCCTTTTCTGTCAATATATGCTTGACCAAAGAGACAACTCCTGGTTCTCTCAAGTCTACTCAGGAAAAAGAAAACATAGAAGAAAATGCTCATCTGTCTGCTCAACCACTGGGAAAATGGAATTCTGCTTCCTGGAAAAATCGACGTCAGCGCAAAACCACCCATCGCTATTCTGTGAGGGAGGCAAGGAAATCCCAGCTGTCCACTTCTGATTCAGATGGCAATTCAGATGAGAAGTCTTCTGTGATGTTGAAGCCTAGGAGGTCACAAATCTTGCAGCCTTTTTTAACAAATTCACCTAAGGAACAGTATGTAGCAGGTAGATGTCACTTTCTAGAAGCTGAAGATGTCCAGAGTTGCAATATACATGTGGACAATGCCGATGAGTCCAAACCAATCATTCCAGTTCCAGAAATCAGTTCTCAGGTGTCTGATGAGCAAGCTGCAGCATCTGTCAGTTGCCTAGACAATTCTCCCTTTGATTTATGTCTTGTCTTATTGTCATTGCTAGAAAAAGTGTGTAAGTTTGATATTGCTTTGAACCATAAATCTGCATTGGCAGCGAATGTTGTGTCCACGCTAACAGAACTGTTGTCAAAACTTGGAGAGTGTTATAGTGCAAGTAGTGCTGCTGAAAATGAGGTTGTTTCTTCAAGTTGGACAGAAGAGCCAGTTGCTCTGGTTCAGCGGATGCTCTTTAGGACAGTGTTGCATCTTATGGCAGTGGATGTTATCAGTGCCGACTCAATGCCAGTCAATTTGAGAAAAAATATTACTGATTTACTTAAAGCAGCATTAGTAACCAAATATTTACTGGAAAAAACACACAATCCTTTTACTTCACAACAACAGGAAACACTGCAGAAGGATATTCAAGATGACATTTTTTTCTCAAAGTATCATCACAAAGCCCTCCTTTTGCCTGAGTTTGTAGAAGGAGTTCTGCAAATCCTGATCTGTTGCCTTCAAATTGCAGCGTCCAATCCAATTTATTTTAGTCAAGCTATGGATCTGGTTCATGAGTTCATACAACATCAGGGATTCAAATTGTTTGAAGCTACAGTACTCCAAATGGAATGTCTGGTTGCAAGGGACACTAAGATAAATGCGGAGGCGCCAGAATATCTCAAAGCCCTTATTAATAGCATTATGAAAATAATTAGCACTGTAAAGAAAGTGAAGTCAGAACAACTTCATCAGTCTGTTTGTACGAGGAAACGACACAGGCGATGTGAGTATTCTCACTTTATGCATCACCACAGAGACCTCTCAGGATTACCAGTTTCAACTTTTAAAAATCAAGTCTCTAAGAGCCCATTTGAGGAAACAGCTGATGGGGAAGTTCAGTATCCTGACCGGTGTTGCTGCATTGCTGTCTGTGCTCACCAGTGTTTGCGGCTCTTGGAGCAACTTTCTCTTCACAGCACATGTTTTCAAATTTTATCTGGCATCCATAATGTGGGCATATGTTGTTGTATGGACCCCAGGTCTGTCATTAATCCCTTGCTCCACTCTTTCAAATCCCAAGTGTTAAAAAATTTTCAGCCGCACATATTAAGCATCCTTAATAAGTTTATATTGGACCAATTGGGAGGAGCCCAGCTTTCTCAGACACTGACTCAGGCCTCCTGCAACATTTGTACTATTGACGGGGACCAACTTGCTGAACTGGATGAGGTTCTTCATGGCAATGCTACTGAAGTTGTTTCTGTCCCAAGCTCTTCGGCAACTTACAGATTTCAAGGAATTTTGCCTAGCAGGGGATCTGAAGACATGTTGCAGAAGTGGGATGCCTTGGAGGTTTATCAAAATGTTGTCTTCCAAGAAGATGACAAACTGCGTTCTATGCAGCTAGCTAGTCATGTGTGTAATTTGATCCAAAAAGGCAATGAGATTATTCAGTGGAAACTGTACAGCTATATATTCAGCCCAGTGCTCCAGAGAGGTGTTGAGCTAGCTCATCTTGCCCAACAACAAGGTGCTGTTATAACTTTCGAACAGACAGGTAGCTTCCCCAAAAAATGTTTGCCTGAAGAAGTGCTTGAAATCTATTTGCAGACACTGCCAGCACTCTTTAAATCCAGGTATGTTGACTTTAGTTATAATTTCAAAATGATGTGACATGTGTTACTGATTTAGTTAAAGGTTTGCGTGTTGCACATTGGGAGATTTGAGTTCAAATCCCTGCTTCACGATGGACATTTATTAGGTGAATTTGGGAAAATCATGCTTTCTCAGCCTCAGAGGTGGAATGGCCAAACTTTGACACACAATAACAATAATATCCTAAGAAACCAGACAATGGACTGTTCTAAAAAAATTCTAAAAAATTTTAAAAGTCAAATTTAATTCAAGTATGTATTGGTATCTTGTTTATTGGATTGTCTTTCTTAAGTCATCTGAGGTGAGAGATAGGCATTGATTTCAAGCATACCGAGGGCTTGTACCATATTTTTTTAAATAATTGGTTGCATTTGTCCCTTTCTTTCATGGAAACATCCAGAGATCAGTAGCTGATGGCTGATGGATTGGCATTGGTCTATAGCACTAGTCCACTTTAAATAGTTCTGGCCTACAAAATACATTTAATGTTGGATTCAAATATATTTTTATTCTATTTTAAAATGAAATATTGTGCAAACAAGATAGATCGGGTTACTGTTAAATCAGTATGCAAAGGGGACTAATTTAGAAAAATAGATGGGTAGCATAAGCTTTAGTAGACTTAAGTCTACTCCTTACATTTTAAAATATGTTTCAGTCCACCACATTTTCTTATGTTTTGTGGTTTAAGTATCCTAAAGGAAACAACAAAATGGTACAGTTTTATTCTTGTCCTTGTTTCATTGCCTTGATAATTTAATATTTGCCTTCCTCCACAGAATAATACGAGAATTATTCTTAAGCTGCAATGGAGTAAATCAAATGACTGAACTAAATTATTTGGACTGTGTAAGAAGTTATTCTTTGAAGGTATTTGAAACATTAATATTTTGCCTTGGAGACCAGCAAACAGAGCAGTTGATGCCAGACCTAGATGGCTTAGATCATGAGCAAAGGAGATCTGTGTTAGACCTCGATGTTTTTGTTCATCAGCAGCAAGAAACTTCAGACACACCTCAAAGTCTAAGCAAATTTTATGCTGGACTCAAAGAGGACTGTCCCAAGAAGAAGAAATCAGCAAGTCAAGATGTTCATGTCAACATGATAAACATATTTCTGTGTGTCGCTTTTTTATGCATCAGTAAAGAAGCAGATGCTGATCGGGATTCAGCTAATGATTCTGAAGATACTTCAGGTTATGACAGTACAGCTAGTGAACCCTTGAGTCACAGGCTGCCTTGTCTATCGCCAGAAAGTCTGTCTTTACCTTCCTTGGAACACATTCACAGGGCAGCAGACATTTGGTCAATGTGTCACTGGATCTATTTATGTAGCTCGATTTTCCAGAGACAGTTCCACAGGCTTGGTGGCTTTGAAGTGTGTCATCGCTTAATAGCCATGATTATTCAGAAACTTGCAATAAATGAAATAAAGGAACAACGTGAACAGAGTGGCTCATCACGGTTGATCCTCAGTAATGAGAGAGCTTCATCAGACCATGATAGCCTTGATGAAAATCTTGACAGCATTGAGCACCATGAATGGCTTCCCTGTGAGCAACCAGCTACAGAACAAATATCATCTGAAGGCCCAGCAGAATCAAAAATAACTATAATTCAAGATAACGAGTGGTGGCTGCACGGGATAAGACTTTTGGAAGCTCTACTAGCAATTTGTTTACACAGTACAAATAATTTCCAGCAGAAGGCAGAAACAGAATCCCTTCTCCAGGTAATGTGTGATTAATGGATGAATACACAGTGTCAGTTCAAAGCTGTTTTACAGGAACCATCATGTATCTTTCAGTTTTTAAAATAACATTTCCCTTTATAGCAAACTGAACTTACAAAGAAATTTTAATGAAATTACATAAATGTAGCTGTAATTGCACTTGCATATTCACATTTTAAGGATTGTGTAATGACAATGCTTTTTAAGAAAACAGTTTCAGTAATAAAAAGAAACCACATAGAAAACAGTATGTGGGATGCATTTTTATAGGGAGGTCTAGGCATAGTGCTTGGCTTAAGAGAATATAATGAAAATAGCCAGTTAATAAACTAGTTAACATTTCACGACATCTTGGTACTCTCATTTATAGAGTTATTTTGCCAAGCAAAGGTTTGGACTGTACAGTTGACCTTCAACTTTTGCATGAATTAGGTGCACAGTACCCTGCAAAAGTTTTAAATATATATATATATAGCCTTCCCTGCAAACCACATTTAGCACACTACATATATACCTGGACTGCTGATGAGGCTGAGCATGGCCACAAGTGTGGCCCCTTACTCATTCACTCATGCATATATCAGCACAGAAGGGCATATTAAAATTAGTTGTAAGACAAAAGTGAGTTAGGTAATGCACACACACCTTGTTTTCTCTTGCTCCCTGTCCCATCCCCTTCACTCTCATGTGAATGAGTGACTCCATGAGAGAACATACACTTGTGGCTTCCCTCCTCCCCTGTCCCAAACTCTTCTCCCCCTGCCCCCAACCCTCACACAAATGAGTGTATTCACAAGGAAACACATGCATAACCATGCCAGCTACCTTGCCAATTTGATTTCTTCCCAGCGACCAAAGATTTCACTGCTGAGTAAACTTGACTTAACTGACCAAATCTCAAGGTGAACACCAGTATTTTTAAAGTCTCAGTTAAATATGATGTAGAGCAGTAGAAGAGATGGCAGAAAATAATCTGGGAATAATTAAATCTGTAAAGGTTGCACCCAGAAATGTGGAGGGGTTTCACCTGACATTAAGTTTAGTTGTGTCCAACTCTGGGGTGGTGGTGCTCATCTCCATTTCTAAACCAAAGAGTTGGCGTTGTCCATAGACATGTGGCCAACATGACTGCATGGAGTGGTGTTACCTTCCCGCAGAAGCGGTACCTATTGATCTACTCACATTTGCATGTTTTCGAACTGTTAGGTTGGCTGAAGCTGGGGCTAACAGCGGGAGCTCACCCCACTCCCCAGAGTCAAACCTCCAACCTTTCAGTTAGCAAGTTCAGCAGCTCAGTGGTTTAACCCGCTGTGCCACCAGGGGACCCTTAACTATGAACATTACCTACAACGTATTACTCTAAAAAGTCTGAACAGTTTTGAGGGCATAACAATTACATTTCTTGCAGATTAATGTAACTAGTAATTATGCTATCTAATGCACTGAGCTAATGTCATGGTGGATGGAATAGATAATAAATAATTGCTAAAGGGATGCTTTTCAAAATAATTCCAAGGTCTGTAAACAAAAAGGAATGAAGAGGATTATCTAAAGATAATGAAATAACGTGCAACCATTGACAAATATACTTTTTCTTGATTTTGTCAAATATAGGATTAAGAATTCAAATAGAGAGAAAATGTATTTGTTTTTAATAGCATTTCACCTGTGGGCATTTTTTTTATATTTTCATGTAGAACGTTACCACTGAAGATATATTATTTGAAATGAGAGATCAACTTACAAAATCTAAAATTATGGAAAGTGGCTTGGTGAAGCCTTTATTTGATTCTTTGCTTCGGGTTGCACTTGGAACTTATTTTGCAGATCCAGATCATTTTGAAGAAAAGAAAGAAAAGGTATAACTTTTAAATGAATGTTTTTATTGCTTGTCTCCTTATCTGAAGCATGGACAGTCATTATGCTTGTATGAAACTTTCCTAGAAATTATATAGATTCATCCTTAGTTACAAGGAGGAGACTTAATAGCTGAAGATTTGTGGCCCAAAGTAAATTTGAACAAACACCTAGCTTTTTGTTGTGCATTTTAATGTATAAGCTGAAAGCTAATTTCGTGATACTATTTAGTATACGTTTATGATCTTTTTCATTTTGTCCAGGCTGCTTTTGTTCTGCACAGGAGTAAAACAGTAGTAGAATAAGATGATAAAAAAATCAATTTATAAACATTAAATTACATAAATTAGGAGAATCAGATATCTGGTTCAATGGGCTGGGATGGGAGTGTCAGGTCTATACTAAATATTGAGTATCGTCAAAACTGCATGAAGTCCAGAGTTTGCTGTAGATGATAGCATCGGTATTTAGTTGGTCATTTTAATATTCTGAAATATATATGCCACAGATACATCAGTCTGAAAAAGAACTTGCACCTCAACCAGGTGACATATCTGAAGAAGCAGAAGAGTCACAGTGCTGTGGCTTTAATTTTTTTGTTGAAGAAGAAGGTTATGATGCAGATAGCGAAAGTAATTCTGATGAAAGTGAGAGCCAAGATGAAGGCAAGTTGTAATTTTTCACTTTATGTCATTGCAAAGCCCATACTGTGGTAGTGGTAATAGCTCTGTTAGTTGTTTTTATAACAATATGAGCATTTTTATTGTTTTTATGGCCAACATGGGTGCTCATACTTGAGACAACATATCTATTACTTGTAATATTGATGCAAATGTGCAACTATATTTTATGAATGGGAAGTGTTATCGATATGCAAGTAGTGTCTGGTATAGGATTTGAAATGTCTGTCATCAAGTTTTACAAGGGTTGGGATGCTGGACCATCATGAAAATCAAGAAAATCCATGAATATCACTAGCTCCCCACTACCAAACATATTTAACACACCTCTGTGGTCATTGGATTAATTGCTGCCAGCTCCACTGCTGCCCTATGCCATTTTTACAGGGACTTTGATGACACCAGTGTCCATCTTCTGTTAAGTCAGTGGCCAAGTCTTGAGTTGCTGAGAGGAGCACTCACAACAAGGGCAACCAAATGGTGCTGTGGTAGCTCCTCTGAGAGTGGAGGCTTTGCTCAGGGCTTAAGAGGGAGTTATAAGTTTTACCTCATGTTAAGTGCACATCTCCTGAGGCTGATGCCATAAGAGTACCTCCTGCTTCCTCTGTCTGCCTCAAAGACTCATGTACCACCTGGCTCCATCCCCCCACTTCTCACTCTCATCATCTTCTTACCTCTGTTCCAAGTGAGTGAACAAGAAAACATATATTTGGTTGCCCCCCCCCCCCCAAGAGTTTTCCTCTCAGTGACCAAAGATTTTACCACTGACTAAGCCTGACTTAAATGAAAAAATTCAATATATTATTGAAATCTCTATTAATAAATAGTGGAAGACAGCAGCAGAAGCAGCAGCAAATGATCCCATGGTGGCGCAATGGGTTAAACTCTTGTGCCGGCAGGACTGCTGATTGATAGGTCAATGGATTGAATCCGGGGAGAACAGGTTGAGCTCCCTTTGTCTGCTCCAGTTCCCCATGCGGGGACATGAGAGAAGCCTCCCACAAGGATGGTAAAACATCAGAATATCCGGGTGTCTCCTGGACAGTGTCCTTGCAGACAGCCGATTCTCTCGCACCAGAAGCAACTAGCAGTTTCTCAAGTCACTCTTGACACCAATATATATATATATATATATATATATCCACAAATAATCTAATCCACAAAGATTAAACCTGGGAAGGCCAACTGTAGACTTTACTAATGGAAGAAGAAGACTGAGGCTTTTTCCAGCAGATTTGAATATTAATTTTCTTAGAATTTTCACTGATGATTTTTCAAGTTTTTCAAGTTTTCAAGTTTACAGAGCTTTTCATCCCTAAGCAGCCTCTGCTCAGAATATTATTGTTGGCAGAAAGCATTGGGAAGCACAGTTGCCGACTTCCTCCTTATTCTACAGTCTTCTCTTCCCACAGTATTCGACAGGGTAACTCAATCCTCTTAGAGCAGATTTTGGGGAAATAGGAAACTATGGAGGAAGTAATCTATGCTGTTTAGCCACTGTAAAAACTATCAAATCAAAGTACCGTATCTTACTAATAGAAAAGAATCTTCTGTCAAGATACTTTAATTGGATATACTGTAGTCTACTCTTTGGCAGTGGAGAAACCTATTTATCCTCGTACTTAATATGAATGAAGTGGTATCATCTCTTTTTTGCACATAGGCATTGTTTTCTAATACTATTTCAAAAACTTATCACATCATTTAATAAAACATTCTGGATTTTATGTATTTGCTTGCCATGGTTAGGCACAAAAGTGTAATAGTTGTGATGAACAAAAATGCTCCATCAGCATATTAAAAAGTGGATAGTTGTAATGTGAATTATGCAGTCTACACATGTGAATATACTTGTCTGTCTTTCAACTGTTGTCGGGTAGATCTTGTAGGATATGGGGTTTATGTTGCCTCTCTCTTAAGATCAGATAATTATGCATATTGCATATAGCCCCTATACCAGCCTCTTCAATCTTCAGTCCTCCAGGTGTTTGGACTTCCAATTCCTAGAAGCCGTAGCAATGGTCAGGAATTCTAGTAGATGAGGTACAAAACACTGGAAGGCCACAAGTTGAAGAGACCTGCTCTAAATGTAGCTATTGTATGGCTGCCAGAACTTTTGTCATCTTAAAAATCGGAGAAGGACACAAACGCAAAGTTTAGCCATCATACCTGCAGCCCTTTTGGAACCTTAGTTTATAATAAAATAGTTATTATAAACCCACCCTGAAATTTTGAAAACTGTGATTTTTAGCTTATTTTGGGGCAAAAAACTATTAGTGTCACCTGCGACAGGGAAAAAAATGATGGTTGTGTTCTCTATCTAGGCTCACCTTCTCATAAAATGATTGTCTGCTTTAGAGCAGAATCATAGAATCTAATAATAATAGAGTTGGAAGAGACCACATTGGCCATCTAGTCCAACTCCCTGCCATGCAGGAAAAGCCCAAAGAATCCCTGACAGATGGCCATGTAGCCTCTGTTTAAAAGTTTTCAAGGAACTTCCACCACACACTGAGGCAGAAAGTTTCATTGTTGAAGTAATGAGCTATGATGTTCAAATAAATTAGAAGATAGAACAAATAGCTGAATTACTGATTTATTGGATCATCATGTGTATTCTCTTCCAGGAAGAGACATTAAGAGAGAGAAAGGATGCTTTGGCTTTCCCAGTTTTCCCAGTGACCTAGCTGAACATCTAGTTCAAGGAGAATTGATATACCCGGAAATCTGCATGCTGGAATTACATTTACTTTCTATTGGTAACCCAAGCCTAGATGTCCTTACTCACGTCTTCCAGAGCTTCTTGAAAGTAATTAGGTTGAAGGAGAAAAATGCAACAGTATTAATGCAACAGGTTAGTGAGTTTTAGTGTTAACCTTGGTATGTGATATGGCTATAAATTGTGCAGCATTTCAAAATGTTCTACAGTAATACCTCACATTCACTCCTTTGAACCACATAGCAATCATGGGTGGGAGAGGTACTGCTAGAGTTATGAAGAATGGAAAGACTATAAGACCACTTGATGAACATTTCAGCTGGGAGAGAGTTTATCACTACCCTCCCACAGAACTGTTTTCTTTTGTTTTTATGAGAACCTTCAGTCTGTGCTCTGTCATCACCAGTGACTATTTTTTTAAATTAGGAATTAATCACTTTCTGCCCACGGGGGCTCCCAGAACATTGTGCAGCATAAAATTACACCAAGTCTTCTCTGTCTCAGACTGAGTTGCATGAGTGTTAGCCTCCTAATCAAATGGGCAAAGATTACTGTGCTTAAATGACTTAGAAAAAATGCATCTGTAGTAAATACGGCTATAACCGACAAGCAGAAAGCAGTATGTCTGCTTAACAGGAAATGCAGAAATAATGCACAACTTTAGGAAACAGATGCACAGTTTAAGTCCTGGTAATAGGCTTTATTATAAAGGACACCTGCTATTTGAGGACCAGGAAGCTTGTGCATTATAGGCTGGCATGTGCCCCTTTTTATAAGGGCTATCCCATATTTGAGACTTGGAAATATTTCCCCTCTTTTGAAAGAGATTCCAAAAATCAATTATTTGATTATATGGAAACAGTAATGTGAGTATTATGGGATCTGTGAATTTGGAAATTATGTAAAATTTTACAAAAAAAATACATAACTAGGTTTACTTAAATTAATACAGATTGAGTCTTCCTTGTCTAGAAATCTAAAAGACTTGAAAAACAGAAACTTTTTGCTGTCAGTGTTGTCACTTCCACCTTTGAGAAAAGGAAGCTAGTTACACATTGAGTGTTCATGTGTTTTTGTTACGGAGCTCTAACACTGTCATATATTTAATAGCAGAAAGGGAAACAGATGAAGTCTTGTGTCCTCTCCTTTACCAAACCCCTGTAACAAGCACGTGTCAGGTTAGGTAAAAGTCCAAATGTATCTAGCTGCCTCTGATGCAGGGAATGCGGGGAAATTCCAGCTGCCCAGCCAATCCGTGCCCTGGTTGCACTTTATACCTTGTTTCCAGGATATCCACCTCACTATGCATTATTCTTGGCTGGGCAGAAGGAGAGCACAATATTGATTGGCTGGGCAGCTGGAGCTTTTCAACATTCCCTGAGTTTGCTGCAGCCAGGCATGTTCGGACTTTCCCTTCCCTTGACATCTGCTTTTTACAGGGGCTTGGTCTAAGTCAATATGCAGGACACTTTCCCCTGTCAAATATCTTGAAGTGGTTAAGCGAGAGCTCTTTGAATAAAGCTCTATAGGGGCTAGATGTGTAGCTAGCCTCCTTTCTTGTCATCTCTAGTTCACTATGTATATGTAGATACAAATATTAAAAAAAAAACCGGGGTGGGGGGGGGGATATATCCAAAACACTTTTTGGTCCCAAGCATTTCAAATAATGGAGGCTCAACCTGTACTTTCATTTGATATTTAGGTAGAACATAAAAATTTTAGTATCTCAACCCTGAGGTATGTTTGTCCCTTACTACTATTTTGAAAATCTGACAATAATACCTGGAACAAAAAAACAAATTGCGCTTATTCAACATTTATGCATTGTTTGAGCAGATTTCAATATGTTGGTCATATCTGTAGTAACAGAAATCAATTTTAGTTTATGGGAAAGGTGAAAGGAGTCAGGGCTGAAATGAAAATTAGCTTGAAGGATGTAGAATTAAGGAGAAAAGGGGGCTACTGGAAAAAATGTCAGACAGCATTAAAGGAATGTTGGGGTCTGTGCTATAGCCAGTCACTCAGCTGTAGTATATTTTTGTAGTTGCAGCTTCGGAGTGATTCTATATTCGTCGTTGAGCCTGGAACCTTAGATCTTGGCGGTGCTAGGGGAGCTTTTGCACAATTAAAACTTGTGCGCCAGTTGCGCCCGTACCTTGGGATGTCAGACTTGGCCACGATAGTCCACGCTCTTGTTACATCCCGAATAGATTACTGCAATGCCCTCTACATTGGGTTGTTTTGAAGACTGCTTGGAAACTTAACTGGTCCAACGGGCAACAGCCAGATATTTCACCAGAGCAGGGTACAGGGAGCACACCTCTCCCCTGTAGCACCAGCTCCACAGGCTGCCAGTCTGCTACTAAGCACAATTCAAAGTGCTAGCTTTAGTCGATAAATCCTAAACAGTTCTGGCCCAGCTTACTTGTCCGAATGTATCTCTCCCTATGAACAATCTCGACAGTTAAGATTATCGAGGAAGGTCGCGCTCTCGGTCCCACCATACTCTCAAGTGCGACTAGTGGGGACAAGACATAGGGCCTTCTCAGTGGTGGCCCCTCATTTGTGGAACTCCCTCCCCAATGAAATCAGGTCAGCCCCCTCCCTCCTGTCCTTTAGGAAAAAACGTAAAACATAGTTGTGGGACCAAGCATTTGAGCAGTAGATGCAGCAACAAAAATGAGAGTGATTTTATGTGACCAACAATGGACTGACCTTGGATTATCATTTTGAACTTGCATATTTTTAAATGGATGTTTAATAATTGATGTTTTTACCATTTGATTTTAACTGTGATTATTTATTTATAATTTACCGTATGTGTTGGCATCTAATGGTTGCCTGTTGTGAAGCCGCCCTGAGTGCCCCTTCAGGGGTGAGAAGGACGGGGTACAAATGTGTGAAATAAATAATAAAAAGTAAGGCATTCCTATCTCTTGGTGTATATTTTGTTAATTCAATTTAGTTATTTTGGTTCCATGTGTAATGTCTGCCTTGGATTTATTTTAGGGTGCTGTAAAAAGTATCTTGGGGGGATTTCTTCACATATTGACAGAGACAGATTCCAGTTTTCATGGTGAGTTATAAATAAATAATAAAGTCAGGGTTTTTTTTTCAACATTTGATGTGAAACTCATAGTAAATTTGTTTAAGGTTTACATCTGTAGAATGATTATTTTCTAATTTACATGTTAAGAAACTTTCAGTGTATCTATTTAAGACTTAAGTATGCTTTATTTTTATTTATTTATTTATTTTTAAATTTAGTGGAGGAAGATGTTGGGAAGGGGAAATTTGTGCAAACTTTTAAACAAGATTCTAAGTATAATATAAAATGTTATGTACAGGGTTTGCCAAATCCGTTTATTCTTTGTTATACCCATTTTGGGTAAGTAGATTATAGCACTACAAACAGATTATAGTTCTAACTCAAAGTTTATGTGACCCCCACCCCTCAATCTATGGGTGAAGATATTTCACTCCTTGATCCAAATTCAGTGAACCTTTGTCCTGCATTTTAGGACAGTTACCCACAGTGTGTGTTTTGTTGTTAGGTGGTAACTGGGGTTTAGAAGCTTTCTTTCTTGGATTATAGCTGTATTTGCCTTGTAGTCTGTTTTAGCATTTTAGCAAAACAGAGTAATGTGTGCTCATTTATAAACAAACTATGATGCTGCTTTTCAGCATGTCAAAAAGTACTTGTGGACCTGTTGGTGTCTCTGATGAGTTCAAGTACATGTGCAGAAGAACTAACCCTTCTCTTAAAGATCTTTTTAGAAAAAACACCATCTACGGTAAGAATTTCATAATGGGAAGGTACTTTGAAGTAAAATCAACTGTTGATGTCAATGTAATAGCTATAAAGAGATTTCAGAGTAAAGCAGCATGCCATTTGTCTAACTCAGGTCCCAAGAACCATTTGATCCTTCAGATGTTTTTGACTATGGCTCACATAATTCCCTTCCATTGAACACTTCTGAAAATTGTAATCCAAAACATTTAGAGCAGAGCTTTCCAAACACTGTGTCATGACACACTAGTACGTTGGCTGCAGTGTGTAGGTGTGGCATACAAATGTAACAAAAAAAACAAAACCCTGAGTCTATGTGAAATAAGCAATAATCATATATTTGTAATATATAAATGAAAGGTTGTTATTAGATATGTTGTTTTCCCATATATTTTGCTATTACAATGTAGGTATGTATCAGTACCTCTTATAATGAATTAGTTTAACTTCCCATTTCCTAATAAACCTGATTTACTGTGTCGTATATTGGTTTGAATGTACTATTTGTGCAGATGAAGTAGTTTCAAAGAAGTTTATTGTCATCTTACTCTGAAACATTGCCTCCTCAATTAGCATGCTGACAAACTGAAACTCAGAGTAAGCTGTGAAGAAAATTTAGCTCCTATGAAGGAAGGCTGAAAAAATTGTAATACGCTGGCACTTTTCCAAATATATGTCTAGCATACGTAACACTAGGAATGGAATACAGTTAGATAAATTGATGAATGGGGAAAACTCTCATGACTATAAGAGCAGCTTAACTGTCAGGGAGCTGCTGTTTGGATGGTTTCAAGAGGCAATTATATTCTCATTTGTTAAAAATGCTTTTGATATTGGATAATCTTGTCTTTGAGAAGCAGGTTGTGCTAGATAATCTCCATACATAAGAAATCTTTCATGCTTGTAATGAGAAGAGAGAAGAATGAGTTTATATGTATTTTATGTAAATAGTGTCCAATTAATATATTGTCGAAGGCTTTCATGGCTGGAATCACTAGGTTCTTGTGGGTTTTTTCAGGCTATAGAGCCATGTTCTAGAGGCATTTCTCCTGACGTTTCGCCTGCATCTATGGCAAGCATCCTCAGAGGTGTGAGGTCTGTTGGAATTAGGACAATGGGTTTATATATCTGTGGAATGGCTGGGGTGGGGCAAGGAGCTCTTCCCTGCTGCAGTTAGGTGTGAATGTTTAGCTGATCACCTTCATTAGCATTTGAAGGCCTGCCTGAGCCTGGGAAAATCTGTTGCTGGGAGGTGTTAATCTGTGCCTGGTTTTTTCTCTCTGTTGTTTAGCTGTTATAATTTTAGAGTTTTTTAATACTGGTAGCCAGATTTTGTTCATTTTCATGGTCTCTTCCTTTCTGTTGAAATTGTCCACATGCTTGTGGATTTCAATGGCTTCTCTGTGTAGTCTGACATGGTGGTTGTTGGTGTGGTCCAGCATTCTGTGTTCCACACCAACATACGACCTAGCAAAATTTCTTGCTGCACAGTTACAAAGCCATATTGGGCTCACTACACACTACATCAAGGACTCAGCCCACTTCATAGAAAAAA